TACGTTAGGGTAAGTAAAGGCGGCTGGACATAGTGCTTACCACACTATCCTTTCATATGCCGAGGTCACAGAAATAGGTGAACTCTACTTTACTTGCCCCATGGACCGACAAGGTAACGTACATAGACGCACTACATATTAAGTTTATACGGCGAACGTCACTACATATTGTGTTTATACCATGGACGTTTCTGCATATTGTGTTTATAACATGGAAGTCACTAAATATTGTGTTTATACCATGGACGTCACTACATACTGTTTATACTATGGACGGACGTCACTGCATGTTGTGTTTATACCATGGACGTCACTACATATTTTGTTTATACCATGGATGTTACTACATATTGTGTTTATACCATGGACGTCACTACATATTGTGTTTATACTATTGACGTCACTACATATTTTGTTTATACCATGGACGTTACTGCATATTGTGTTTATACCATGGAAGTCACTACATATTGTGTTTATACTATTGACGTCACTGTATATTGTGTTTACACCATATACGTCACTACATATCGTTTTTGTACTATGAACGTAACTACATATTGTGTTTATACCATGGACGTCACTACACATTGTGTTTATACCATGGACGTTTCTGCATATTGTGTTTATACCATGGACGTTTCTGCATATTGTGTTTATACCATGGACGTTTCTGCATATTGTATTTATACCATGGACGTCACATCATATTTTGTTTATACCATGGACGTCACTACACATTGTGTTTATACCATGGACGTTTCTGCATATTTTGTTTATACCATGGACGTCACTACATATTTTGTCCCATACATCCTAAACATAAAGTCAAAAACAGTTGAGTCTAGACTAGTGGGCTTTCTATTGCACAGACCATACATCCTCAACATAAAGACAAACACAGTTGAGACTAGACTAGTGGGCTTTCTATTGCACAAACCATACATCCTCAACATAAAGTCTAACACAGTTGAAGTTGGCAAAGGTATGTTTACTCTGTATCACAAGTTTGTTTAGAAATCATAGGAAGCTTTATTTTAAAATTCCAAGTATAAAAAGTATGAATAAAGTAGTGTAAAAACAGACTGCGTGCCACAATCAGTGCACCTTCAACATTTTCATGACATGACCAGTAGCTGGTAACAATCGGAAAGTGTCTTAAAATAGTAAGCCTTAAGTAGCAAAAAAATGTTTAAGTCTAAAAACTTGGTAGATAAAAAATGTAATTTAAAAATGCACAGAATAAGGGAAAAATTTGAAGCGTCAAAATGGCCACACCATATAAACAATATAACTTAAGTAAAATGGTCGTGCACATATTACATAACAGGTGGTTGGAGGGTAACTTAACATTGCTATATTGTGTACTGGAAGTAGGGGTGGAATAGAAAAATGTATGAAACACTACTTTTTTTTTACAATATCTGCCATTAAGAATGATCAAATTAATTGCACAAAATTAAATAATTGCATTTTGTTGCTAATGAAAATAGATTAAAAAATTACTCTCTGATATGATGTTATTCCTACAATTACTTCCATAAGGTGCACAATGTTTGTAGCAGGCCTACTAAAATTGTAACAAGGAGTATATAATATGGGTAGGTTCATACAGTTCTTTAATATGAGGAGTTAAGTCATTGGAAAGTTAGAACATTCGGGGAAGAGAGAATATTTTTGTTTTATAATATGTGCACAATCTTTTGAGTTAAAGTGTCTCTAAAACCAATCTCACTGAAGTTAATTAAGATACAGTAACATGCACCACCTAATATCAATGCTTGTTTAATTAAAAATGATTAGAATACTTTTAATGATGTACAAAATTTCAAGCATAATAAAGTAATTTAAGTTTTTTTTTAATTTTGCCTCTGATGTGCCATACATTCTCAAACCATATTTGATATATGTGGCAGGCATTTAAACCATATGGTCAGATTTTTACCTTTTCTGTTCACTCAACAGGTGTTTGTTTCTAGGATAATTAATTAATCTTTCCTAGGATAATTAATCTTTTCTAGGATAAATTTGTATTTTATAATAAAAAAAATAATATGGTTTAATTTTCAAAATTTTAATTATTGATTTTTTAAAATGAAAAACTAGGCTCTCTTGGTTATTTCCCTTTGTAAATAGGTTTGCTCCCTTTAGTACTCTTCTCAATGTATATAGATTTTACATAATGTTAGTTAATAATTTGAGATTATAAAATTTTGAATATTAGTATAACTTTTGTTCAATAATAATGTGACAACGGTAACTATGCACAATACATCTTGTTTCATTTGATGAGATAAAAATGTTAAAACATTTACCAAAATCTTACAGACTATAGCACAAATTAGTGATTTCTCACTCAGTGCCATTCAAATTTTTTTTAATGAATTGGGTGGAGATTGTCAGGGATATATAATATATAGGCTATATTTGTATTTATTTATTCTTACATATAAAAAACTAACCGTCGCTGGTCAATAAAATAATTCCAAGTGTTTATTTTATCATTTAAATCCTTAAGAGAATTCTGTTTCTAAAATTGACTTCTCTAAAGAAAGTTTCTTTAAAAGCTGACAAAAAGATATTTTTCTCCCAAATAGTGACAGAAGAGGGTCACAGTCCTAACAGTGAAGAGAAGACAACTACGGAGAGCTTTTACATTAACTAATATCAAGTGTGAAGGGAGATCAACAACAAGGAACAAACTTTAAAGAGAACTTTTAACAGCACGCCTAAGAGCATAGCGACAGGTCGGATTGAAGTGAACACTTTTTTAAATGTGTTATCACGTTTTGAGTGAATTATTTGAATTTAATACTGATATTTTTAACAACATAGGACTTCAATGTTAAATTAAATGTTTTCACATAACCAGCAAGCTTAAAATATTTTTTCTCGTGATAAATTCTGCATGTTGTAACAATTACATATTATGCTAAACATGATTTGATTTAGCAATGACAGCCGAGTGATCTATTTTTAGATCACAATAAATTCAAAATTAAGAAAGAACTTTTTACTGTGGGTCTATTGAAGCAGTCTTGGTGCAACAGATGTTGCTCCTGGTTGAAGGAGCATGAGTAATTTCAATCAATATTAATCTGAACTTATTTGTCTTTTGAAAGCCCATGTAGTTTGTATGGAGATAATTATCTTTAGGTTTCAATTTTAGGGACTTAAAATGTATTATATTTTTCTGTCACTATAGCTTAAATGTGTTGAATCTGTATCCTTTTGTGTCGATGATTAAAGAGCCTAGTAAGTCTGCTAATTCATTTGATAATATGATATTACTGTGAACATTGGGTAAGATTTATCTAAGGGGTTAAACTATGGGTTAGGCTATAATATCAGGTTAAAGGTTAAATTTGAGATTTAACTATATTATTAGATTAAATTACAGGTTAAAATATAGGTTAAACTATATATATTTAATTCTATCAGGATAAACAGTTTATTTTGACTGGTTACATTTTAATTTATCAATGATGCTTTTCAACTTCTAAAAGAAAAATTAGTTTTTGAAATTTTACAAACAATATAGTTAAATTAGTAACACTACACATAGTTAATTAAACTACACAGAATTAATTAAAAAAAAACTCACACTATAAAGAAATGAAATTCAATAAGTAAATAGAAAAAGGTTTGTACACAATATACAAATGCTACACCCAACAAACTATTGTGCTTATAAACAAGACTTAAGTTGAGAAACACTAGGCCATTCATTAAGTAGTCTATAAACACATAAAACATCTAGGTAAAAAATGTAAAAAGCTTAAAAAAAACTTACATACACCAAAGCTATTCATAAAATTAAAACTTTAAAATAAAGAATATGAAAATGTCAATATAAAATGTAATGGGAAGGAATGAAAGAAAAATAATTACAAAGGATTTAGTTGGAATGGAACAATGCATAGAAAATAGATTTGCCGAATAGAAGTGTATAAAAACACCAACAAGTACCAACAAAGGAAAACAGTGCAAGAGCTAAAAATATAGCAGTATAAAAGTTTGGACTGGTAGTCACTCCTTACTTGGGTTTGACAAAAATAGTAGTTTAGTAACACTGGTTGGCACCTTTGGGTAAATACTAAATAGATACCAAAACTTCTAAAACAGTATCAAACTTTTATTTTCTGGCACTCACTGTGTTTGGGTGTGAGAAAAAAAAAGTTAATGAGATTATTCTAATTGTCACTTGTGTGGCAAATAGTATCAAAATTTGTGTCTCATTGGCACTTATGTGACAAATAGTATTAAAGTTTGTGTCTGATTGGCACCCTGTGTTTGACAGAAACAAAAAAAAAAACAAATTACCCTTATAGCTCTGGTGGTCAATAGGCCAGATAATTTTAAAGAATTTATGGCCAAATGTAAGAGTAAGAGCATAAATTTTTTTACATCAGATAAAAATCCAACAGAGACAATAGTAAATGCTTTACACTTTGGCATGAATCCTCAGAAAAAAAAAGTTAAAAAATGATGACAGTGGTAACATAGGAGGGTTTAAACTGCATAGAATACAGTGACGTAGCTAGGGTACCTGCTGGCTGATGCTGACCTGCTGTTGATTTCCTCCCCCCCCCCCCCCCCCCCTTCCCCAAAATAAAGTAATAAGTCACAAGCACCAGGAGCAGCATTGGATAGAACATAAAGACAGGCACGTATCTGTGAAAACTGGTAATCCTGTAATCTGTTTTTATCAAGCAGATTGCTATGTGTATGAAACAGGAAAATTATATGCCCTGGACCCTAGATTTTTCTTGATACCGCCACCACCACCCAAAAGTGGACTGAGGTTTTTAAGTGACATGGGGGAAAAGATATAACTTACAAATTTTCTAATATCACCATATAGTTCATAGCAGCCCACTGCCCTATAAACCCAGTCCACCACTGCCCTACTAACACAGTCCGCCACTGCCCTGGCAACCCAGTCCACCACTGCCCTCGCAACCTAGTCCACCTATCAACTATAATCAACCCAGTCCGCCACTGCCCTGGCAACCCAGTCCACCTATCAACTATAATCAACCCAGTCCGCCACTGCCCTATCAACTATAATCAACCCAGTCCGCCACTGCCCTATCAACCCAGTCACTGCTGTCTGCATCAACCAAACTAACCCTGCTACACTATTGTCAGCATTTGACAAGTATAAAAAAACTTGCCGCAGTGTAAAAATGGAAATGTATTATTACAACAGTGATCACTTTAAAAGCATCAATGTGGTTTTGTAGGCACCAACATAACAACATAATATTACTGACCTTTGTTCATTTTATGACTATAACAGGATTTACAATCTGACAGTGAACAGGATAAATGACATGACAATGAACAATCCTAGAAATAGACCTGACCTCGCTATAATTCAGGATGTGGCATGACCAAGAGAAAAATGTATCAAGAAATATTTTTCTTTTTTTTTTAGGTTAAATCAACTTTCTTAAATCTCCAAACTAGTCCTACAACATGATAATCAAGGGTGAAAACATCCATGGTAAAATTGTTTGATAAAACCTGATTTCTATTATGGCTATTATGAATATATAGGCTCACAGTTCCTATAAGTGGCAGCTTTAAAATAATGTCGGACTCTATGGAGTTGCGGGTGGTATTGTGCAAGGGGGTAGGAAGTGTGAATCATCAGTTACTTAGTAATTTTTTTTTAATTAAACCAATGTTAGTTTTTGCTAGAATTACATACAGGGGAAGAAGATATCTGTGACATTGTTTTATGGATGCCACTTATGAGTGTGGGGTAAAAATCTTTTTTAGATGAGTGACATTATCAATAAAATGACAACGCTTGAGAAAAAATTGCTTAGATACAATAGATTACATTATCAACTTTTCAACAATATTTTTTTTCTTTAAACAGGAATGGAATGTTTCTAAAGCAGGTGTAGAGTAATAGTTCATAGAAAAATATTTAATTACTGCCATTGTAGAAGTTTTAACTAATACTAGATAACATTAATAAGATGAACAGGTAATTGCAGTTACAGGGGCCTTTTAAAAGAGCTGGGCCTACCTTGTTCATCGCAATGTGAGAAGAGTATTTACAGTTTTCGTTGCAGTTACTAACATTGGTTCTACCGACCAACCCTGACTTTAAAGCTTCCAGGGTACCTTTTGATAGCTTTCTCACAGACATTCCTTGAGAAAAGATAATCATACGAGGCACACAATGAGACAAGGTTGTAGTCCCACAAAGTCCCACTGAGAAATGGGGGCAGAATGTCCATCAGGAGACGCAGGTCGATATAAAGGCCTATAAAAATATCCTTAGACAAATTGGACAAGGCTAGGATAAGCATGCTTATGATGTCATCGCAAGCAGATTGGTGGTCTGGTCCGTATAGACGTGATATATCCCTGTTGAGGTCTTCTATAGCTTTAGTAATGTAACGCACCTTGTCAAGAAAACACTGAGCGTCAAGACATTTCCTGATCTGTCTCCTGAAAGGTGTCAGGACCGGATCTAATACTTCCTCTATTTTGCTCGGATCCTGAAGATAATGCCATTTGTCTGGAGAAGTTGATGGATTACTGTCCATGTCTTCCGAGCTTAGAGTTCCCCCGCTCCCAGCACCTTGAATTTCTCCGCAGGAACTTGGGAAGGAACCAACCTCGTGGGAGTGATCAGACGAGCCAGTGCTGGAACTGTCTGGTATGTTATCCTCATCTCCTTCTTCAGGATCATCCAATGAGAAGCGTTTGACCAATTCTCTGCTGTCATCATTAGCCAGCTTGTACAAGTCATTGATATCACAATGCCTCACATCAAGGCTCAGGGAGGAGAGAGTCTTAGCTATGGATATTTTATCAGCTGACTGCAGAAAGCTGATGGGCAGAGAACTGGACGAGTCGTCCCTCTGTCCAAAGAAAAGTTCCAGGATTTTGTCTCCCTTTAAAAGTTCACGGAGTGGGGTGTTGGAAAGGGCTTTGTAGGCACTTTTAATTCCTGCTCTAAGACCAGTCTTGTACAGATGGGTAAGCTGTGGTAGCATCTCCTGCAGAAAAAAAAATATTTCTTTGTCAATAAAATGGCTTTAAATTATATTACTTAAGACTGGCACTATACAGCTTTTTCTCAGGTAGTAATGGGTTTGTAGGGGACGGAGTGGTCTAGCGGTAGAGAGCTGGACTGCTAACACGTAAGTCTCGAGTTCGAATCCGGGTTCAATTCAGTAGACCGTCTCTGAGTTGACCCAACTCTGATGAGTACCTAACTCGTGTTAGGGAGAGTAAAGGCGGCTGGACATAGTGCTGACCACACTATCTCTTCATATGCCGAGGTCACAGAAACAAGATAACTCTACTTCACTTGCCCTATAGACCGTCAGGTTTGAAAAGGGAACTTTGCTTTACTAATGGGTTTGTTTCCATTTATTCTTGTATCTACAATGTTTGATCTACAACTAGAAAATCTGTTCTGAATATAATTATTCAATTGACAGTATATGTTGTTTGTCTGTTGTTGCTTTTTAAATAAAACAATACAATAATTTGATAATCAGCATTTCACAATTTCTTAGTTTTAATGCTGTAAACTGCGAGGCAAATATGGGGGAAAAATGTGAAAAGAATATTTAAAAATTCAAACCTGACAAAAAGAGCGTTCGTACGACCTCCACAACAGTTCTGTTTGCTCTTGGACTGAGGTCTCAACCAAGGACTCCTGGTCTAAATGCTGGACTAGGCTCTCAACAACATCACGGAACAAGGCATGCAGCAAGCTCTTCAAGTTTTCCACCTGCTTCATCAGGGCATTCAGCGCCAGCTGGTGGGTCAGGTTCATGTGGTTTTCAGAAACAACCCCTCCAGGGCTGTCATATTCGTCATTATCGCTTTTATCATTTTGTGAAGTCAGCTCATCAGGAAGTTGATTCGTTGAGTGATCTGACGACCACTTCCGTGCCTTAACCGAGTCAGCAAAGTGATCACTTTTGACTCTCAGGCTGATATCGTCAACAGCAACCTCTTCTGTGTTTGGTGTATCAAAGATACAGTCATCCTGTTGGCCAGGTAGCTCGGCCACACAACTTTTTCCATGAACATTTCTCCTCACCTGGACAAAGCCATCAGGATGCTTAGGAATGGTTACTGTCACATCACCTAAAGAAAAGCTTCTTGAAACATCATAACTAGCCTGAGCTCTCCTCCTTTTGATGGCGCACCCTCCGCTGATGGCTAAATTATACTCACTCAGCACTAAATTGATCTGAGATGAAAGACTCCGACACCCTTGTTTATGAATTCTGTATGGTTCCGACAATTGATTTTCTATGACTCTGCTAACCCTTTCTTGAAAGGTCAGCCAATTGTTTGGTTTTTCAACCGCTGCCCCTTCATCTACGTTAAAGTCCAAAAAATCTTCTGGCTCAAATCTTGTGTCCCGTTCATACTCTGGGTTGTTGTTCTTTAACTCCACTATAGTGGCTATGGTTGCTTCCCTTGCCCCGCTGATGTTCACCTTATCATTACACAGTCTGTCAAGAGACTGGATACTGATGCCTAGCCTCCTATCTACCTCCACAAATATGTTGTGAAAACAGCTCTCAATAACCTGAGGGTTTCGAATTTTCTTTTTAGTTTTCTCTTTTCGAAATATAACATTTTTTATGCCTTCTCGTACTCTGATATATTTGTCTATCGCTAAAAAAATGCTATCTCGTTTTTCCTTCAGCTCTAGTAGCTTTCCTTCGTCCTCTGTTGTGGACTTGGCCCAGTTTACTTTGCTCTGCTCTGCTTCCAGCATCAAGTTGTGTTTCTCCAACTCCATTTCAATTCTACGCAAGAAAACTTTTAAGAAATCCCTCTTGCATGTTCTTAAGTAGCGTTCACTGTCCAGGTTTTCTTTCATGAGCAGAGTGTCTTGAAGAGAGATTAAACACTTATCAAGTTTATCAATTTGATCTGCGACTTCAATAATATTCCTCTCTGACTTCTTAAGACGCTCTTCAATCAAACACATAGCTCGTGAAAGACAGTATAAATCATCTCTTGAAAACACAATTGATTTGAGGATATACACATGCAAGATATTTGCCACGTTTCTATGAAATTCTTCAACAGTTAACGCATGCTTCATATATTTTCTGACTATAGAGGAGCATTTGGTCATCATTTCTCTCAGGGAGGCATCAAACTCATAATGACCACTGTCCTCAAAGAGAGGTTTGGCATTTCTTGGGACAAAATACTCTGGTGAAGGCTCAGGGGGGTTAGACCTGCGCAATGAGACCACTTCGGCATCAACATCGTTGGTTACAGGTGTCCAGAAAATCAATCTGTAAAAAATTGTATCCAATGTAAACAGGAGTAAATTTTTTCTTTTACTTGAATAAAAACTGTGTATTATGCTTAGACAAAAGCAGTAAATAGCACAACAAACATTTTAAAGTATTAAATTACTGATAAAATATAAAGAGACAAGATTTGTTTTATATCAACAATATTGTATCATTTAAATTTAATATTACATTTATCTTGAAGAGATACCATAAACATTACTTCAACCTTTTGAGTTTGAAGAATCATTGCCGATACATGAGTTTTAAATAATGGTGGTGGCAGAGGTGAGAGAAAACAGTACCTGAAGTGTAAGAGCTCTGGTAGGACTAGTTTAGAGGTTTTGTAGGTAACTACCCTAGGCTCTAACTATAAAATGACACTATTTATAATTGTAACTCAAACATGCCTAATGTCTGATGATACAGCAGTAAAAAACCTTGATACATTTATGCATGACTGCGCCAATATTTTCACAACAAGACAACTATCAACACTCAACAGAGCAAATTATATTCCTGCAGTAAGTTTAAAACCTCACCTTCTGTCACAGTCAATGAAGATGGCATCAACAGCCAATGTTTTGTACCACAGTGCTGATTCTCTGGCCAGTGGCGAAGACTGGGACTCAGACATGGGGTAGGGATGTTTACCCTCCACCACAGGAAAGCATTTATCATCAACACTGACATTTTCGATTGTTTCTACTTTTTCTCTTAGTTGAAACAGAACTCTCATTTTAAGATAGTCAATGTTGATGATCAATTTGGAAATATGCTCGTTGCCATCATCAGCTTTTTTTTATGCAGCAACCTATTTGAAAAAAATTACAAAATTTTTAGAAAGTCATTTGAGTAAGAATTAAATTTTGTAAGCTACTAAATGAAAAAGCAAGGTAAAGATACTTAGTAGGCCTACTTAGTCCACTGTAAATCAGGTTTTAAGTTGTTTGTCTAACCTATTAGGCTATAGTGAATTTATTATATAACCTCCAACAATTTATAATTAAACCAAGTTTTCTAAATAGATCTATGTAGTATGTAGGCCTAACTGCAAGATCAATTAGTATTATTAATATAACATCCGCCTTAAGCCTACTACTACTAGTACTATGATAGTGATAGTAGTATCTATATATGGCAGGAAACAGATTAGTACCGGAAAATGCATATTCGATCTTCGCCGTTCATAAACTTTCTAACCAGACATCGTTCGGGGATTTTGTTTATACTGATAAATAGAGCTATGTTTTTACAAGCTTCGTTAGCAACATTTTTGTGGAATACGTTTTTTATGACATTTTGTGCCGCGGCGAAGGATGCGAAGTATGCAAATCTGGACGGAATGGATCTACTTGGAAAAGTACGTGTACTGCACTAATAAGGTAAGAAATACTATTTTGTAAAAATAACTATTATTTTTATGGATTTTTCATTAGAAATGATTGCTGTAAATTATGAAAGTAAAAAAAAGTATATTTGAATGTGTTTTTTACTTTAATTTGAACAAAGTGAATGGCCATAATTACGACACATCAGCGTCGTTGAAAGCGGGGATTTCAGTTAATTTTTTACGGATATAAAATTGTATTTTTTTCCTCCGAGGCATGTACTTAAATAACAGTTTAGTTAAATGTATTTAATTCTGTAAAATATAAGTATTATTTTGCCGTAGATACTTTAAAAAAAAAATGTTTATGATTTTCTGTCGGGGAAAATCGATATTCGCACCATGCACGCACGCGTAGTAAAACTAGACTTATCTTTAAAACACGAGAATCTTGAGTACACTGCGAATAACAAAGTTTTTAAATTTTAGTTTACTTTTGACTTTAAGCCATTTGTTTTAAATCGAAATTAATTGATAATGTAATTATTTCAAAGTAAAAATTTTCCGTCTGATTGGGTTCTAATCTTCGCCCACTGAACCAGCTTACGCACGACATTCGCGCGAGTCTGTTTCTTCGCAATAGTCTGTATAGTGTCGAGGGCTAATTCTAAAAAGAATCGAGTCCTTACTAATCCAATGTTTATTAAAATTAGGTACAATTGTTGGAACGCATGAGAAATAACAAATTAATATTTCTTTAAATCTATAGCCAAAAGAAAGTAGAACTTTATAACTCTGTAAATTATGAATCGAGTGACGGCTGTCGTGAAAACGGGAGCCATTTTACTCTTTTTTTAGGGTGACCTACTTTTATTATATAATTTTAAAATTCATCGATTTAATAAGCAGCTGAGTAGCTGACTACGCATGCGATATGGCTGGCACGTTTTGGGATAGGGATCGAGTACACCATTTTTCTTAGAACTAAGCGTATTTTTTTTTTAAATCAAAAGATACTTACATATCAGTTGTTGATTTCAATTTCATTATAGATCTAATCACTAACTTCAGTTTTTAAAAGTGATTTTGCATCTAGATCTAGCGTATTTTCAAAATTACGTAAATCTAGATCTATTTTTTAGATCTAGACTCTAGATCTACTTACTATTTGACAACCGTGTCAGTAAAATGAGGTCAGCGCTTCCAGATTCTTGGGTTTTAATTATGTTTGTCATTTTGATCTATTATAAGTAGCATTAAAACAACTGCATCTATTATCAACATTGTTTTTATATGCCAGTTCTAATTATACATTCTGTTCATTACCAATTCTAATGAAATCGTATCAGGCCCTAACACCCTGTTCACCTACACTCCTACACTGACACTACACTTGAAAGACGCCACAGAGAGTCGTAACTTTAAATTAATGTTTAAAGTACTAAACAATTATAATTAGCCATGTAAATGCTGCAACTATATTAAAAATTGGCATATAGACATATTTTATTAATTATGTTTTTTATATAGACCTTCTATATTTAACTCTGTTATTTTTTTCTTCCCCAGAGTGTTTCTAAAAGCCAGAATTTTAAAGGGGAGGGCGGTCGTTTTTTTTCTCAAGAATAATTATAGAAATAAGCTATAAACTGGTATATTTTGTAAAGTTTGACACATTTACAAATAAATGTATGCCTAAGTGACATTTCTGTGTAATTATAATTTATATTGTTAATTTTGTGAATTTCGTGGATTTTTAGACCTCACTACATTTAGTCGGTTAGATGTAAAAAAAAAATCTCAGTTGAGTGAGTGTGGTTAATCTACATTTTGAACGTGATGTAAATGTCTAGTGCTATTAATTTTTATATTTTTGAATTCCTCGATTGTTAAGCAACAAAATTGATATATAATATGTCAATAATTGTTACTTTGAAAATTGGCGAAAATCGACCCTAAAAGTAGATGCTTGAGGGTTGAATCTGTTTCCTGCCATATACAATTTTCTTCTTGGAGACCCTAGAAAACACCAAGCTGTAAGCGCGTTCCCTACCATCCCCACCCCTACATGGTCTGGTGAGCTGTGGTTCACGCTAAATGTTTGCAATCGTAGAGTCGGGTTTAGTGACGGCTATTAACTATTAGGGGCAGATAATTTAGTTTGAAACGATTTTAAACTTAGGGGAGGTAACTAAGAGGAGGCTGCTTTCACGGGGGGGGGGGGGGGTAGGGGTTGGGGAAAGGAGGGGGGGTTATCGTCCTTAACGAGCTACTGATAGTGTTTTAAAGCAAATATATTCAGTGGCAGCATTGGTACTGTCGAATTCACAAATTATGAATTACTGAAAAGTAGAAAATAAAACAACTAAATAGTGGCGTATATTACGCCGCGGGTCGGCTCGTTAGTTATAAATATTAATTAGTGGGCTAGAGATCTAATCTATTAGTATTATGTATGTAGATCTAGTAATCTAGTATTTAATGTAACAGATAGGCCTACCTAATAACTATTTCAGTAGTATTACTATAATGATCTAGAGAAATCTAGTATTAGACTAAACTAAACTAAGTTGATTAGTCTATTTATTGAGTCTGACTCTATTCAGATACCAACTTACTAAGAAAAATAGAACTATAGACTATAGACTATTAGAACAAAATAATTAATAGACTGAATACCAGTGAATAGACTTGAATACTGAATAGATTAGTAAATGTCACTAAAATGAAGTAAACTGACCTAAAAAGACTTTAAAAAGTAAAGTACTTTTAAAGTACTTTAAGTTAAGTAGCCTAGTCTAGTAACTAAAGTAGATTCTAGTAAAATTTCTTCTTATTATTATTAGCCTAAGTGACGGAATAATAAGTGTCTACATTGAAGATAGATAAAAAAAATAAAAAGATTGACTAAGATTTTAGATTGTAGATCTAGAATAGATTATGCCGAGATTTATGTTTTCTAAGTCTTCCAAGCAAAAGATAGACCTCCGGAGACTACTGGGCACGAAAAAAAATTCGGTACGAATTTATTGCGTTGTTAAGTGGATGGAAAACCTACTGTGAGCACGGATACCCATGAGCGTCCTTTGTTATGACAGGCTGATGACTTCACTTTTCAAGCTTCCGTGTTATATCATTAGACGATTGGCTTCGGATATTTCCGTACATCTACTCCCGGAATTAACCAGTCGAGTTTTCTTTTAGCGCAGAGCGCTTACCGCGGTCTTTTGATACTTACTTGATAAATTATAGATCACCCTAGATCTAGATCTATATTAGAATTTAGTAGCATTAGTTTCTACAAACTTAACGTCGGAATAGGAACCAGTGTTTTTTTAAGGCATCTTGAGCGTCGGCCTACTCTACTCCTTGAAACTTCCAAGCGATGTCCCATCCCTGAAGAATAAAGTCTGAAAGAAAATGTGATCTTTATTTTACTACGCAACGAGGGGGGGTAGAAAATATTAGATTAGATTTAAAAGCTATTTTTACGCTGTAGTTTTGAATTATAAACAGCCGAAGTTAAGAAATGTAACCTTGATTGTGTTACTGTAAAACATACCTTAAAGAAACATACAGTCGAAATCCGCTTTTTTAGCTTTTCCTAGATGGGGGAAGGGGGGGGGGGTGGTTTTTCGCCGACTAAATTAGGAAGAATTTCAGCGTGAGAAATCTAATACTTTTACTTGATTGCATTACATCTTGCCTGGATCACTTTGTTAAAGAGAAATAAATATCATGGGTTTTTGTATCGCTATCCGATCAGTAAAAAAGCATACGGTTGATTGAAGGCAGTACCCTTTGCCGAAATTTTAAGAGCTATGAAAATTAGTATATTGTACCGAATAGATCATTTTTTTTATTGTTTGTTGCATAACAAGTCCTAATACTGCAATTTTCATATAATTAAGGTCACAGACTTACTAAACGAGGTTACTGCTTTGTTACTTTGTAACTTTGTTCAACCTACGTAATAATTTAAAACTATCATAGAAATTGTTCTAAGGACACGACCAAAAGTAGACCAAATATGCTTGCACTTTCTACAAACTACAGTCCAAGGCAGTAATTCTTACACTTTTTGGCGTTACCGAACCCCACCAGTTTCATATGCGCATGCATTGAACCCTTCTAAATAATTTTATCTTCCACACTGACAAAATTCGATCGTGAATCACATGAGCCGGGTGTGTGTCTTGACCCCCGCCGACGCTATGAGACTGACTTACCGAACCTTGTTCGATCGAACAGTTATTACTGTTATATAGGCCTATATATATATATATATATATATATATATATATATATATATATATATATATATATATATATATATATATATATATATATATATATATATATATATATATATATATATATATATATATATATATATATATATATATATATATATACAAGGGGGCGCCAAATTGAAAGTTCGCGGCGGACGCCGGGAGGGTTCGCTACCAGTGTTTCTTCCAGACTTTTTTCTCCGGGGGGGGGGGGGGCACTTGAAATTTTCGGGGGGGGGGGGGGGGGCGGTAGACTTTCTTCGGGGGGGGGGCGGACACTGTTAAAAGTATATATTTTCTATATAAATTATATAAATTTCATTTCGTTCGGGGGGGGGGGGGGCGGTAAAAAAATTTCGGGGGGGGGGGGGGGCTTTGCCCCCCCGAAGATATGCCTGGAAGAAACTCTGTTGGCTACGCTTCTGGCTGCAGGCTATACCAAGTATTACTAATCTACTCGCCTAACGGATCCGATTAACACAACAACTTGCACCCGCAAATAGTCTGAGATCTAATACATTTTAAAAACTAGCCAATGGTTTCTGACGAAAAAAGCCTTCCACCCATCCTTTCAGTTTTAACCGACCTTAAGTAATCACACTGTGTGTGTTGTATATCAGTAGCGTAGCGAGGGGGGGGGGGGCGGGGGGGGGGGACGACATATGTCCCCGGGCACCGACCTTAGGGAGCGCCAAAATGGGTTGGAAAAATAAATTGAAAGGTTGAGGGGGGTGCATATCGAAAGTTTGAGGGGGGGGGGTGCAAATCGAAAAGTTTGTCCCCGGGCGCCGGGAAGGGTCGCTACGCCTCTGTTGTATATATATATATATGCTATATATATATATATATATATATATATATATATATATATATATATATATATATATATATATATATGCTATATATATATATATATATATATATATATATATATATATATATATATATATATATATATATATATATATACTATATACATACATACATACATACATACATACATACATCACCAACACTACTCGACGTATGCAAATAGATCTTATTGCATGTCTACTAGTTGTTTTCAAATTTTAAAATAAATGTATATTGTATAATGTGATTTAATTTAATTAAGATATTGATATTTTTTTTAAATCGCACTTTTTACATATTATAATACAATGGACCTACAGATTTATTTCTGTACGAAATGTATAATTCAATATTGTTCCGTTGCGACTATAATTTTTTATGGATTGCGGAAACGATTTATGTATGCCAATTGGGATGTAGAAATTGAATATTTTGTTTTTAGTATTTATGCTGCTTAAAATCGTATAAAACCGAAACAGATATTTTATTCTGACACTTATAGAAAATTATATTGTTTATTGACATTTTTCTTTAATATCATAACTTTCTAATATTTTTTTTTCTAAAGCTTGTTACCCCAAATGACAATGAGGATAAAAATCTGGTCAACATAAAATACTCGCTACTTGACGATAATCTGGGAAGGTACTGAGTAGTTGACTTGGCCTAATCTAGAATCTTAGATCCAAGTGTCGATTGACATTTATTAGGATAAATTGTTCTGTTCCTGATTTTGTGAACGGTGTTTCTTAAGTTAATTAATGAAGTGATCAAAACAATACATAGGTTAGAGTTAACAGTCCTGTAACGTGCCCCCTATTAATTTTTTTTAAATCTAACGACAACGACTCTATTCTCAGCATTCAACCTTCTCTTCTATCAGTAAAGTTGACTAGAGATCTAGATTCTACTAAAGATCAAAGAAAGAGTGACTAAGTCTCTGTAATTAATCATTATATAATATATTTATTGGCTTGTGTTGATGTTGTTATTGTTGCACCTAGATCTGTTGCCTGAGTTTTCTTTACGAAATGACTACTTTCTTCCCCTCCAGCGCTAGTCTGGGCGGCAGAATAATTATAAGAACAAACGCAATGACTAATGACCTTATTAATTAGATGTGCAATTGGTTCAAATTAATCTATGGTAAAATCATGATATAGCGTCGGTTATTATTCTGGAACTGTACAGCAGTAAATAACGGTATACCATTCGAATCGTCCTTAGAGGATTTCATAGTGTCAGCCGCCAACCAATCAAACGCGCGCTTTATATTATTGTTTTGAGTTTATATTTAACTCAATGCAACGAGCCCGCCGGTTGGCTGAGGCCACGCCGGGGGGACGATCTGTCCGGGATTCAAAGGGACGACTCGAAATATCGTCCGTAAATAACAGTAGGCCTAACGGTCCATAGTGTAGTAGAGCGTAGTCTGTCGAGCCATTCCGGAAATACTGTAAACCTACATTTACTTGCGGCCATATTATTTTTAATAGGCCAAATAATGTTTAAAAATGTGCAAGGATTGATTTTAGTTGCATTTTAAATAGGCCTACTGTTTTGCTAGGCCTAGGCCTAATTATTTGTATTTCTAATACCCTAGGCCTAATTATTTTAAATGTATGTGCTAATTATTGCTGCTACTAAACATTGTTCTAGTTCTTCTTACTACTTTTAACTTGAGTAAATCTAATTGTCTTTTTTTACTAACGGAACTAGAGCTATTTGTTCCAAATCTTCTGCAGGTTTTTTCTGTGTTTCTTATAGGCCTAAAAACAGTAATTAGGGCCTACTACACTCGACTTTATTAATAATATTTAGATTTAGGCCTGCTAATTTTTTGTCAATTAAACATTAATTGAAGTCAAAACATTAATTTAATGCACTTGGACTTGACTCTATTTTTATTTCAATGGTCAAATAAACTATGGTTTACAGTGACAAATGTTACAGAAACTCAACAAACATTACCAGATAATTTCCGACGCTATATCGTGATTTTACCAAATACTATTAATTATTTATTCTTGCTAAATCTTAAATTTACTTAATTTTCATTTAAACACGACCACTAAATAATTAATAGACATAGGCCAAGATCTACATATTTAATCCATTAGGCACTAATAATATCAAAGGGTTTTAGCTTGTTCTAGACAAAATTACTTCATTTAAAATTTATTGTCACTCACAGCTTTGGCACGAACACCTTTCCAATACAACCATGTTATAATTCCCTTGTGTTTGATGCTAAAGAAAACCACAAATCCATTTAGACTTTTTAACTGGCTATGTACCAGAGTTCCTCGCTAGTGATCAACAGCTGTGTGGTTTTTTTTTAAAATAAAAAATTTGGTTGTTCGAATCTTGGTTCAAGTCAGTATACCGTCCCTGAGTCCACCGAACTCACGATAGGGAAAGTAAAAGCGGCTGGGCATAGTGCTGACCACACTATCTCTTCATATGCCGAGGTAACAGAAACAAGTGAACTCTACTTCACTTGCCCTATAGACCATCAGGTTTAAAAGGGAACTTTTACCGCCTGGCGTTTCACAGCTAACCATTAGGGGTGACAGCGGCCTAGCACGGCTTCGGTGTTCCACACATAAGAAAGAAGTTGATCTATTTACGGCATATCTAGCATCAGAAACAAATTTCAAATGTGTTATTTAGGCGATTTTGAACAAAGTGGTTTTATAATTCGACAAAAGAGAAAGAAGTTAATAAATCATCAGCATGTAAAAGTTGGTAGTAATAACAATACAAACAAAACATCTTTGAAGTCTGCATCAAAGTTCATTGTAAATCAGATGTGGTATAAATTTTGCAGACATCTTTGCATTTGATCACCACCATGATTGTTTTATCACTAAGTCTGTGGTTTTATAATTCGACAAAAGAGAAAGAAGTTAATAAATCATCAGCATGTAAAAATTGGTAGTAATAACAATACAAACAAAACATCTTTGAAGTCTGCATCAAAGTTCATTGTAAATCAGATGTGGTATAAATTTTGCAGACATCTTTGCATTTGATCACCACCATGATTGTTTTATCACTAAGTCTGTGGTTTTATAATTCGACAAAAGAGAAAGAAGTTAATAAATCATCAGCATGTAAAAATTGGTAGTAATAACAATACAAACAAAACATCTTTGAAGTCTGCATCAAAGTTCATTGTATATCAGATGTGGTATAAATTTTGCAGACATCTTTGCATTTGATCACCACCATGCATAACATCTAAGTATCGGGTGGGTTAAGATGGGAGACAAAAATTTCACATTACTAAACAGTAATCACATATATTGATTGTGAGTGTTGTATTTTTTTTAAACATTCAAGAAATATTCCCGTGTGATCTATCACAGCCTACTACTATTTGGGTGGGGTAAGAGGTGAGACAAACATGTCACATGACCATCTCGCTATCTCACATTTCGCATCTCACATTTAATTCTTACCCTTTTTTAGATTAGATGTTCTATTTGGCCTACTGTATCACCTCTTTTTATTTTTGTAATAATGACTTACATTATTGATATATAAGGTACATATAATTTAGTTGATTTAGAGTTTAGATATTTTATGTTTACATGTTTTCTTTTAAATTCTGGTTAATTATGCAAACCTTATAGATAGGATTATGGGAGTGCCAGAGATAAACTTCTTTGACTATGACCTATGATTTGAGGCTCTAGCTCATTCATATGCCAAAATATTTTGGGCCAGAAGGTGGCATCACCCTTCTTTTGATTTTTTAAAAATGTTTTTAAGGAACTATTTTTTATAAGGATATCGACCATGACAATAGAAGTGTCATCTTTTGTTTTATTTGTCAATTTCACTGTTAGGTTATAGGGCAACATTTACAAGTACATGAATTGTTTTTTTCTTAACTATTTTTTTAAACTTCTGTATTTCCAAGAGTTTTTTTTTTGTTTGCTGTAAATTTGAGTGTAACTTGTAATTAATCTAGGCATCTAATACTATTTTACAGGACTTAAAGGTTGAAGATGAGTAGCTCAGAGGAAGTATCATGGATCTCCTGGTTTTGTGGCTTGAGAGGAAATGAATTCTTTTGTGAGGTATAAAACATAATTGGCTTAATGTTAATTTGCTGTTACATTTTGTTCTTCATATTGTGTGGTTGTTATTCTCGTGTTTTTTTAAACCAGGTGGACGAGGACTACATTCAAGACAAATTTAACTTAACTGGACTAAATGAACAGGTCCCTCATTATCGACAAGCACTTGACATGATCCTTGATTTAGAGCCAGGTATGATTTTTCAAAAGACCTCATAAGCAAAAAAGTTTATCCTCTAGTTAAAAGAATAATTATAAAACAGCTGGCTGTATTAATGGACATGATTACCTCTGAAAGTGAAATTGCGGTTTTTAGTGGTATGAGTATAATTTATTTGCTTTTTAATTGATTTCACAATACAATTTTTAAAGTTTTATGGTATCAAGTAGTGAATCATTTAATTAACAACCAAGAATAAAAAGAAGTAATTTTTTTTCTAGAAGGTCAAAAGGTAATGAATTTATCACTGAGTCTGTATTTATCTTGCCCTAGAAGAAGATGAAGATAACATAGAAGGGGATATGGTTGAACAAGCAGCTGAAATGGTCTATGGCCTTATTCACATGAGATTCATTCTCACCAATAATGGACTGGTCAAAATGGTATATCCTAGTTCATGAAGAACTTCACCAGATTTGTTTTGTTCCATTGTGTTCTACTTTCTTGTGCAAAGTTATGAGTTTTGTTACTTTAAACTTAGATTGGAATAAAATGTGATAAAATGCTATCTACACTCATTATATTTTTAAGCACAGACCAATAGCTCAAGATGAATATATTGGTTCATAAAAGTTTCTAATTTTAAGAAATAAACATTTAGTTAGTTAGCTTAATCCCAAAAGTTTTCATGTTTTGATGCTTTTGAAGTTGATGCTGATTCTGTTTGAAGTCATTTTCATCTTTTTATATTTGATGTTGCTGGCTTTATAAAGTTAAGTCCCATGTCCAATGGCTGCACTAAACACATGGATGGCGGCAGTAAGGGTTTTATTAGCTGGTAACTTTCATAGAACATTGTTGTTGTTTAGATGATGAACTAGAGGAAAATCCAAATCAAAGCGATTTAATAGAGCAGGCAGCTGAAATGTTGTATGGACTAATACATGCTCGCTACATCATGACAAACAGAGGCATTGCTCAAATGGTAAGCAACTTCGCTCAAGCTTTTACCTAAAACTGGTTTTTAAAAATAATATGAACCCTGAAACTAGTTCAACATGCAACCATTGGAAGGGATGTTTCAAAAATGTTAATTTAAATTTCTTTGTTCTGTTGGAAATTTTTTTTTTTTAATTTTTTGTTTGTTGAATTATTTTACCTTCAGATTTGTTGGTAATATTTGAGATTTTTATTTTGAAGTAGCTTATTATAGATTTTTCTCCTGAGCACTACATTATTTATAAAAGAAAAGTTTAAACAGAAATTTTATGCCCTGGCTTCCATGTTTCTCAAATTTAAAAAATTCAATCTTATAGATAGAAAAATGGCAACAGGGAGACTTTGGATACTGTCCTCGTGTATACTGTGAGAATCAACCCATGCTACCAATTGGTAGGTATTCTAGATCACATTTCTGTTAAGATGCTAGCCTTACTTTAAGAACTCTAAAATCTTTGGAAAAAAACTCTTCAGTTGCTTAATTGTATATTTTCTCAAGTTTTGTTCAAAACTAAGTTATTATTTTTTAAAGTGTTTTCAACTTATTTGCTTCTTAAGCTTAAACCTTCCTCTAAGGGAGACAATCCTCAACAACCTTAGTTTGAAAGTATTTTAAACATAAGTTGCTCAATTATTAAAAAGTCACAAAATATACTATTAAATAAAGAAATGTATTAACTGTTATATTTAGTAAGCATAAATAACGTAGAAGCGTTTTTTTGCATAATAATAATGCAATAGAAACACAATAAGTAACAGGAAGTAAAGTATGAGCAAATGAATTAACATATATTATCAGTATAATATTTAATCCTTTTACACAATTTTTTTTTAATGAAGTCCACCAATCCAAATTTTTTAATACCTTCCTGATATTTCTGCTCATCAATAGGTTTGTCTGATGTGCCGGGTGAAGCCATGGTCAAACTGTATTGTCCTAAATGTCAAGATGCGTACACACCCAAATCCTCCAGGCACCACCATACAGATGGTGCATACTTTGGCACTGGCTTTCCTCATATGTTGTTTATGGTACATCCTGAGTATAGGCCTAAAAGGCCTGCAAATCAATTTGTTCCAAGGTAAGTTCATCAGATCACTTTTTCAACAACACAAAATGTCAACAATTCTGTTTAGTATTTTTTTAGATTCTAAATGTGACTGTTTTTTTTAACAGGCTTTATGGATTCAAGATACATCCTCTTGCTTATCAACTTCAGTACCAAGCTGCGACTAACTTTAAAATGCCCTTGAGAGGCACAGGACACCCCAACAGCAAACGATGAAACACTCACTCTTTTAGAACTGTTATTTTATTTCTCAATCAAACATAGGTTTTCATGATGTCTTTAAGGTGGCGATATATTTGGTTTAATTTTTGTAAAAATTTTAAGTCCTTGAGTTTACTAGACGCTTAAATTATTTGAGGTACTAAGGCATTCATTAAGCACTTCCAATCAGCATACAGCGTGGTTGATAAATATAAAAAAATTGTCGGTTTTTCCTGAATATATATTTTGTATATAACACTACAGAATCATAAATTCATTTTGTTAAAATTAAAATAAGGTAAATATATTTATTAAAAGTTTTTGTTTCTAGCTGTACTTTTTAAGTTGTTAGTTAAAGGAGTGAAGGTGGCACAAGGTTTATAAACCATTTGGTGTGCTGTAAAAATTGTCATGAGTCATCCCTGTCTTGTTTTGAATAAACTTCTACAGTATTGTATTATACTTACAAAGCTTTCTTTTCTAAAAGTGTCACTTTCATATTGTCTTTGTGATGATAGTGGCTGAATTAGTTAACTTGGTGATGATAGTGGTTGAATGTAATTAACTTGACAATTGAGAAGTGAAAAATATTTATTTATTCTTGTCTGATATTTTTTTACAATGATAAAACAATCAAAATTCAAACCTTGACAAAGAGGATGATTTGCACAAATTGATCTTTAATTTTCTAGTAAAATTAAAAAGATGAACTAATTGTGAATAGTATCAACTGTTAGCTACATAGGCAAAATGATAAGCTATCACAAAATAAATACAATACTGGTACAATGAGTCACAGAAAAAAAGCCAAACCTGGACCTGCCATAAAATGGGAATAAAATGACTTCAGTTTTGTGTGACCAAAGTGATTTTGATTTAATGGAATCAGGTTACCTAAGACATTTTTAACAAGTTAATCATTATCAGCTATAAACTAATCTATAAAATACTTTAAAATGTAAACACTAAAAAGTAGAATATATAATTATAGCAAAACCTGTGGTATACTGTAACATGAGAAGAGAATAAAAATAATATTCTTTATTCTAATCTAATGAGCACATAAAAAGCTTTCAGTAAATTAAACATTTTTTAACATTCCTGTGTAGAATTGAATGACATTTTTTACTAAAAATCTAATTAAAAAATATTTAAATATACAACTAGGTGAAGGATATGTACAGATTAAATGATTAAGCTATAAACTGTCAAACATTTTAATATCATTTTAAAACTGAATTCTTTACAACAACAAATGATAAACAGCTTATATGTAATTTAAATGTAGGAGTGACAGCATCAAATCCTTTTTATAGTGACTCTAGATGTTGGAACACAACTGTTAAAAATGCATCAGCTTGGTCAGTGAATTGTTCTGTAACTGCAACAACTGAACACCTTGATTGAATGAACCTACCAGTAAGCTGTGGAAGACAATTGGTCATAGTATTTAAATCTTGTACTAATAATTTCTATAAGGATGTGGGAATACAAAAATAAGGATTGCTTTTAAGTCACCCAACAGGTATTCCGTGTTGGATTGTTGTTATAATACACTGGCTTCTCATTATAAATACGGATCCCGCATGAATGATGTCTAGGAAAGGAGTTATGTACAACTCAAGGATATAATATGGGGTTGTTTGGCTCCAATACTATGTTTACATTACACTCATCATTAGTTCAGCATAAGAAGTATTCTGTGTACAGGTCTATGTGAACTTTATGATATCAAAATTTAACCAGTATTCTTGTGTTAATATTTTTTTTAAATAATGGTAACTATATAATAAAACAATCTGAAGCATTTTGCAGTACTGAGTAGAAGGAAACCAATAATAAAGGTAAGAGGGTTTCTAAGTTAGATGTGGCCAGGTTGAAATATATTCAATTTATTTGTGTGGACATCAATAAAAAAATCTTTTAGCCATAAAAACATTCTATTTCACATCCTACAGACTTAAGGTAAAAATCAACATTTAATGTTAAAGCACTATCATGTCGACATAATAATAATAATATATAAGTGCATAAAAGGAATATAAATGGAAATATGTAGGTTTGTGTATAGGTCAACTAAGTTGGAACTATACCACATTAACACATTTCTCACACAAGGCTACATACCTTCCATCATCATTAGCTGCTAGGGATGTCAAGGGGCCACAACCACTTAGTATACATTCAGCTTCAATAACTACAGAATAAACAGTTATAGAATTCATTTTAGAAGGTGCATGAATACACTTACAGGAAAATTGTGGGCTTACATTAACTCAAATTACATAGTTTAATAAAACTGCAATCTACCTTACCTTATTAGCTTAAATGTGTTGTAAGATGAAAAACATGGATAAGAATACAACCTTGTAAATGTGATGTGATAATTAGTTAGCCATCTTTTATGGGATATCACTTCAGCACCTTCATTCTTCTGTACTTTATTATAATATAGACATTTTACATTTGGCCTATCATTGGTGTTTTTATTTTTAACCTCAATAATTTACTTTGATACTTTGCTATTAAAAGATCTAGTTACCATTAGTTTTATTCATGTGCATTACAATGGGCTAGTATCTATATATATAATTCTCTTCATGGAGACCATAGAAAACACCACGCAGCTTAGCCACCACCATCATCCCCACCTGTCAGGTGCACTGTGTTCGACCCCGAATCTTTACAATCGTAGAGCCGGGTTAGTGACGGCTATTAGGGGCAGATAATTTAGTATTAAACTATTTGAAACTGTGGGAGGTAACAATTTCTGATTGATCTTTTCTTTGTCTGTAAACGGCTGCTTTTACTGGGGGGGGGGGGGGGGAGGGAGGCCGGGAAGGGGTAGTGTTGAATTCATAAATTATGAATTGCTGATAAGTAGAAAAATAAAACAACTAGATGTCGGCGTATACTACGTCGCGGATCAGCTTGTTACTTTAAATTTAATACAACAGACAATATTGGATCTTTTTTTCTTGCTGAAACTCTGTCTGAATGTACATGCATTACCTGCATAAAGGAACCTATCTATGATATTATCTCACACAGTGCCCTCACCTCCTGTGGACATGTTCCAGATTTTAACAGTCAAGTCACGAGATGCTGATGCAAGCTGCTGAGTGCCAGGTACAAACATGCAAGCCTCTACAGCTTCACGATGGCCAAAGAATTCTTTGTGGAGTTTTCTTGTCCTCATATCCCATAACTAAATACGAACAAGGAACAAAAAGAAACAGTTAAAGGTTATTTGGTACCTTTTTTAAATGATATGACTGTTAGGATTGTTACATATTAGTATTTGTGTAGTTTTAAATTAGCGTCCCTTTTATTTACATGTTTACATTACCCTTAAAACTATAGTTTGTTTTCATTACATTGGCACACAATTCTGTAGCTTAGGAACAATGGGGAGGAAAGCAACATATATCACAGGAAGAACTTTGAGGATAGGAGGTATAAAGGTGGGATTAGGAAAATTAGTGGTCTATTTTCTCATAAACAGCCATAGATTAGTGATGTCTGTTCAGCAAGAAATTAAGATATAATCATACACAGAATTCGTGTTGGTTAATTGTCAAACATACTCAAGTGTTGACCTCATCCTGCTTCGCAACAATGACTCAAGACAAACGAATCACTTACAGAAAGGAAGAAAAAAATATTGATGCTTAGGCTAGCACAGTAGGCAGCTCTGGTCTTCCTTATCAATTTATATTATGGGTATAATTCAGTTATGTTGCTAATTTGCAGACTATTTTTCTGTTTTTTTTAACTTTTCCATCATCAATTGGTCTAAACCAAAATGTTTGAATTCTTATTTTCTTAATATATTATGAAGATATGTAGTTCAAATATAGTAAAGCTTATTCTAAATGCCACTTTAAAAAAATGATATCAATTTATTTAAAGAATTTATTGTGCTACCATCTAAATGTTGCTTATACTGGTTTTTTACATTGTGTACATTCTGAAACATGCATGACCTACTGGTTTTTAACATTGTGTACATTCTGAAACATGCATGACCTACTGGTTTTTAACATTGTGTACATTCTGAAACATGCATGACCTACTGGTTTTTACATTGTGTACATTCTGAAACATGCATGACCTACTGGTTTTTTACATTGTGTACATTCTGAAACATGCATGACCTACTGGTTTTTTACATTGTGTACATTCTGAAACATGCATGACCTACTGGTTTTTTACATTGTGTACATTCTGAAACATGCATGACCTACTGGATTTTTACATTGTGTACATTCTGAAACATGCATGACCTACCGTTAACTCACAACCATTGCCAGAGAATCCATTACTGGATGAGATGATGTAATGGCCACTCTTATCCACATCACAACACATCTGGATGTACTGTTTTTTGGGAAAGCTGAACACTGGCTGTAACGTGCGAGTATCAAATACTCTAAATTTGGAAAAAAAATCAGCATCACATTAATTACATTGTAAAACCATACAATCTTTAAATTGTTAACACAAATAAGTGTTTAGATACTTGGGAAAAAAAATGTTCAGGAAACTGAACTCTGCAGTACCTAACTTCTTTATCTTCTCCTGTCTGGACAATGGTAGCATCCCCTGGCATAAATTTCAAATCTGTAACCTGTTTAATAATATTATAAGCCCTTATAGCTTAGTTTTATATTTGTCCCTTATTATGTGATTACAAATATTAAACAAAAATCTTTTTTATTAGCTATTAAAAAACATAAACTCCACAAAATTTGTGTTTATCACAAAAAAAATATTTTAAATTCCTCTTAAGTCATTTAGAACCTTGATGAAAGTAAATTACCACATAGTTATCTATTAGAACCTCTATGATTAAAAGATTTCTGAGCCATTTTTATTTTAAATAAATTACTTTAATTATGATAATATTAGCATAATATGAAGCAAGATGAAGACAAATTTCTCACCTAAATATGACATTAGTAATGTATAGAATACTATTTTAAGTAGGCATACCAGGTTTTGTGGAATGTTGTTAGATTTAAGACATGAACCAGATTCTATGTCCCATAACTTGACTGTGTTGTCCCTTGACCCACTGCACAGGTAGCTGTTACCTAGCGTCATCAAAGGTAATTTATCTAAAATATATCATCTGGGAGTATGTCAAGTTATGAACACATCAATTAACAGGACACTCATTTTATAAAGTTGTTAACATATATCCTCAAGATAACATTGAAGAATAAAAAATGCGGACCACACTATCCCTTTGTATCATATGCCTTAGTCAGAGAAACACTTCTTTCTTCTTCTTCTTCGTTCTTAATTTTTAGTGTTGGAAGGGATCGAGCCTTATCTGCCAGAGGGTTTGAACTCAAGACTTTTTTTCGAATTTTATCAACCATGAGCTTTGCCGACTCGATCATGGTCAGAGAAACAAAATTACACCTATTTATTTTTATTTTTTGGGATAATAGGTTTGGAGAGATACATACTTTGCTTGAATGTGACACACAATAAATCACCGAATAAATGTTTTCCAAAATCAATGTATTTTTGTGAAAGAAAATGGTATTAATATTATGGAGTTTATTTTGTAATTTTAAAATTAATTAATTAGTATTTTAAAAAAGAAAGCTTTGGATACATACTAGAATTTACATGTATAGCCGTTACCACTAGAGAATGACCAGAAAATTCCCTCTCCACATTTAAATTATCTTTGTGCCAAAGCTTTATTGTTTTGTCTCTTGAGCTGCTAAAAATCTTATTTGAGGCTGCTCCGTATAACACCTAAGGAATAAATAACTAATTTTCATGGTCAATGTTAAGAGATAGGGTTTGCAAACCTTTAAGTCTACAATTCTGTTCCTGAAAATTAATTAATAGGGACATCACTGAGTCCACTCAGCTCTAATGAGTTCCTGGCTTTCCCTTGGAAAGTAAAGTAAGCTTGATGCTCACCTCACTATCTTTCATAGAATGAGTTCACAAAACAAAGATACTCTTTTTTTACCTGCCTATAAGCAACATTCAAGTCTCTAAATTACTTTATTTTCTTCAAATGGTTTCTAGTTAAACTAAAGATGAACAATCTGATTACATTTCAAGGTTAAAATATACAATAGCTTTGTAAAAAAAATGAATAGAACCTACCCTTGTTATTGCACTTGAGTGACAGTCCCATCTGTTCAACTGCTTTTTGTTTTTATAATCATACAACACAACACACTGTGATGAAATTAATCATAAGAATAATACAAAACTGTATTAACAAAATAAAGATACTTTTATTCTTAATTAAATATTGAGTCACATTAAAATAGGTATGTCAAGCGGACGGCAAAAACACAGTTATTGCCCACGTTTCCTAAAATATTATAGCTAGATCTGTTGGGTTCAAAAGATTGAGTTTGTGTCATATACTTTTACAGATATAACCCTCCAAACACTGCACTTTTTAGGATGTCATAACTTTTTCACTTCTTGAGATATATGAACAAATTTGGTATTCACTATCTTTAAATCTTGAGTTCTTGGCATATCATCTTTCAAAAAAGCTCTGGGTCCATTTTAAAAAATCAGTTTGGCATACCTAATTCAAAGGTGATTATTTGAGTGAGCAGTATTTGACATCTTTCGTTGAGGGCCAATTATTTTATATCATTTATAATTAAGTTTTAGAAAGCTTTCTGCCTCAAATTTTCCAACCAGAACTTCTCAAGAGTATTAATTGATACGAGCCGACCCGCTGTGTATCATACGCCGCTATTTAGTTGTTTTTTTTTCTACTTTTCAGTAATTTATAATTTGTGAATTCGACAGTACCAATGCTGCCATTGAAAATATTTGCTTAAAAACACTACCCCCCCCCCCCCCACGTGAAAGCAGCCTCCTCTTAGTTACCTCCTCTAAGTTTAAAATAGTTTCAAACTAAATTATCTGCCCCTAATAGCCGTCACCAAACCCGTCTCTGTGATTGTAAAATGTAAACAGAGTGATCACCGCTCACCAGATCATGTGGGGGGTGGGGTGGGGGTAGTAGTGATAGAGAGGAAGAGAGGGGACTGCAAAGGCGCACTTGCAGCTTGTTTTCTAACTGATCCCAGAAGAGAATTATATATATAGATTCTTTCTACATGAAACTAATACCAAGGTATTTTATTTCTAAAAGTTTCAAATTTTTAATAACAGTTAAAGGTTTTATTTATAAGATTATTCTAGAAATATTTTTAAAAAAATAAACCTTGTCTTTACTTCCTGACAGAGCCAAATCTGGCTTTATACATGCTACACTAACAACAGCATCAATGTGTTGTAACTTGCAGCCATTGTAACCATCACAGCCTGAATCGCCAAAAGTATAATGATCACCTATAACTTTCTCAGCAGCTGCTGCTGTAGATGCTGGGTGGGATGACCTGGGAATTATTTTTTCATTAAATTGACAATTGTTAACTTTACAACAAAAGATATATTAAAACTTGTTTGACTTGTTAATAATGTATTAATACTGAAATAATTTAATAATTTCCAAAATATAAAGAAATATGGAATAGAGAGAGAGAGCCCGAGAGGACATTGGAATTTAATAAGCCATAGATCTAATCTAATAAATGATCATATCTATAGGCCTAAATGTTATTAATTGACAAATATTTAGTCTAATATTTTTAGGGGCGCTAATTATTAACACATTAATAATTTAAATTTTTAAGCCTATTATAATATTATTTTATTAATTATGTAGTACACAGTCCTATAGTAGTTTTGTTTTGCCTTTAATAGTATTTAAATTGCTAATTCATTTTAATTATTATACTTTATTACTATGTATAGATATATTTTTAGTACATGTCAATTGTCGTGTACATACCCGGCACTTCTGTTAGTGTTACGCTTGATTTTGCTGAACATTTTCCCCATCATATTAATTATATTATTATATTGATTTTTATTATCTTAATTCTGTTTTAAATTTTCTGTTTTCGTTCATGATGTAAAAAGATTCATAAAACAAGTAAACATTCATTCACACAAGACAGCAACAAACATGGACATGGCCTAGACAGAACTAGAATCTAAATACATTTTCTGCCGTCACTATTGTAAACAAATAGCCTCCCTTTAATATTTTATTTCCGGATGTAGCATCGCAGTTTTATTTTACCGACTACTAGCCACTGCATACTGACATTGACAAAAGCGGAGTCAAAAGCTACCGATGTTGTGTAAATTTTTTTCTTGATCGGCCCCATGAATATTAATTGAAATGTTTTATTTACTCCCGAGTTAATAGATCTGCTGGTAGATAAAAACTACATTTTTTTTATTGATATAGCCTGTTTAAAAAGCTGAAAATTATATTAAGACAAAACATCAACTCTGCCGTAAGCTGGAGAGGAAACGAACAGAAATAAGTATCCCCCAAAGAGATGTGACGCCAATTTACCCTAGCCTAAAATACTTTATGGTGACCGCCTGTGCATGCCTGCTTATCGTCACATAAGTCGAAGTCATAATTTAAGTTTGTTCCCCTGTCGTCAGAAGGTGAGAGGGAAGGTTTAATGTTTACCATGTTTAGTTTGAACAATGCTAGCACGGAGTACAGCACTAAATGGAGAATGGGAGAGGGGGGGGGGCGTACTTTTGTATTTATATGATACGTGGAGGATTAAGAAACAGCTACCTGGTAGCCTTTTCATTTAGTAATTTTCGTTAGAATTATAATATATGGAGAGGGAAATAGAGTTTTGTGAATCAATAATGGCTATATAAAAATGGAAGTATGTGGGTTTCAGTGTTTCTTCGAGACTTTTTTCTCCGGGGGGGGGGGGGGGGGGCGGTAGACTTTCTCCGGGGGTGGGGTGGGGGGGCGGACACTGTTAAAAGTATATATTTTCTATATAAATTATATAAATTTCATTTCGTTCGGGGGGGGGGGGGGGCGGTAAAAATGTTCGCCCCCCCCCCTCCGAAGAGATGCCTGGAAGAAACTCTGGTGGGTTTGTCTTGTATGAATCACTACACCATTCATGCGATCGTCATGAGACATTAGGAAGTAGTTGAAAATATTCCTGAGAAGATTTCTGTCATAAAAATGTAATATCGGAGTGGCGGTGTTTTGGCGCCCCGATTTCCCCCGCGCCTATCTTAGCACCAGGCGTCCTGTTCAAGGGGTAAGGGATACTAAAACAAACTGCATCGGCGCTCCGGCGGTCGAGTGACCTAGAGCACTCCGGGCTCGCCCCCCCCCCCCCCCCCCCCGTGAACTATATGGCGCCTACATTCTTTTTTTAAAGAGCGTCCTACACTAGGGATACGGTGGGCTACTATAACACGTGAATTCAGCCTATATGTTTTAAGTATTATACCTGTTTGAGAAATATATTTTATAAAATAGTTATTGGTCAAAACGCAATGTGCTTTACTGCACGTTGAACGATATAGGTGAAAAAGCAAAGAAATAACTAAATAGCTAAAAATCCGACACATTTAATATAACATAGGCTACCAATACCAATTAGAAAAATTAAAACAAAATATATACATTATTAATCAACACAACGCCATATTAAATGCCCACACTGATTAAGTAACATAAATGATTCAGTTAAAACCCGGCTATTGAATAGTATTTCTGTTGGTTTTCAAAGTAATTTATTTTATTATTTTTGGCCTAGAAAATTGTATTCATTTCATAGCGCACGTCTTCGTATGTAGATGTAAAGATTTAAATTAAATTTGAATGAAATTATTCATGTCTTCATATTCTAAAACTGGAAGATGTAGGAAGCGAATATTATTGAAGATATCATTCACATCATTAGTATTGTGTGTCATTTTCGATATTCTATTTTTAATTATATTTTTTATCCTAAAATCAAAGATGCCATTAGTGTTGTGTACTTTCCGTAGTTTAAAATTTTTATTAGCATTGTTTCGAAAAGATGTTTTTCTCTGTTACAGTGTAAATTACATGTGACGTCATTTTGCCAGTGATAGTTTTTGTGATACTTATCTAATATATAAAGCTCAGTTCTGTAACGTGTGGCAAAAAAGTTTGTCGTTGACAGTTCTATGGATTTAAGTGTTAGATTTTTTATCGTGCTCATAGTCTAAATTTACGAGTCAAAAAATTACCATTGAAAGTCTTTAAAAACAATTTTCATTCTATTTACTTAGAAGAATAATTTTCAATTATGAACACGACATAAAATTTTTAAAAAGTGTATCGACGTTTATAAAATTTCTAAAATTGTGTCGGAAATGTATTGACTGCACAGTTACTTCCCTTTAATAAAAAAAATTCTTAAGAAGAAAGAATTTACATTTTATTACTTTGTTTTAGGTGTTAAGAAAAAAAAAATAATTACATAATTAGCGGGGATTGATTACGTGCAATGTCGTTAGGTATTTTTAACACTGCCTTTTATTTATTCTATACACTGAACATACTGTTCAATATTTTTTTTTTAAATCAATAACATTTAATAAGCCAGGTCCTACAAATCCTATATGTTTATTTCTTTCCATTTACGGATAAGCTTGGAGTATTATAATTTTTGTTCACTAAATTGAAACAGGCGCGTCCGCCGGCGCCCTTGCACGGTTCGATTAGGCACCCTGGGCTATCATGTGAGCGCTATGCTGCATAGTTTTGTTTTTAACAGTGCGATAGACTATGGGTAAGAAAGGTTACTATAGTCTTTAAGTGAATCAAATCCGGGCGTCCTTCGGCACCCCGACAGGGTGCTATTTGGCGCCCCGGGCCTTCCGGTGTACGCTATGGTATATACGTTCGCGTGAGTTCAAAAGACTATGAATAAGTTATGTACTATAGTCGTTTACTAAGTTCAATCAGGCGGTGACGTCATGGTGCGTCCTCTGGCGCCCAGACAGGGTGCTATTTGGGGTCCCGGGCCTCCCGTGTTCGGTTTCGCGCCTACGTTCATTAAAGTGAGTGCAAAAGACTATGAATAAGTTGGGGTACTGTAGTCGTTTATTAAGCTGAAACAGGCGATTCCGCCCCGGGCTAGACTCTGAGCACTGTGCGTTTATGTTCGCGTTAGTGTTTTCTTTGTGTTTAGGTTGGGTTTGCGTTAGTGGTTGCGTTTTGATTTGGTTCGTTTTTGTTCTTTCTTTTTTCGTTTTCGTTTGTGTTTTATCTTCTTTGCGTTTGTGTTTGTATTTGTGTTTGTGGTTGGTTTTGCGTTTGTATTTGGTTTGTTTTCGTTTGTTTTTTCGTTTTTGTTTTTTTCTTTGGGTTTGTGGTTGGTTTTGCATTTGGATTTGGTTTGTTTTCGTTTGCTTTTTCGTTTGTTTTTTTTCTTTGTGTTCGTATTGGTGTTTGTGGTTGTGGTTGGGTTAGTTGTTAGGTTTTTGTTTTCGTTTGTATTTGTAATTGTGTTAGCTTTATGTTTGCGTTTTGTTGTTTTGGTTTGGGTTTGGGTGTGCAATGCCGGGTTTATGATGATTACTAAACACACAGGTAATGGTCTTTAACAGAAAGGTTTTTCACAGAAGCCAGAGCAGGGCCTGGCCGGGACGGCTAGTATATTATAAGAGCCGGCCCGCGGCATAACATACGCCGCTATTTAGTTGTTTCTAATTTTCAATAATTCATAATTTGTGAATTCGACAGTACCAACGCTGACACTGAAAATATTTCTTTAAAACACTATAAGTAGCTCGTTAAGGACCATAACCCCCCCTTCCTTCCCCCCCTCCTCCCCCCCCCCCCCTACGTTTAAAATCGTTGGCTCTGCTTGTAAACATTTAGAGTGAACACAGCTCACTAAAACCATGTAGGGGTGGGGAGGTAGGGAGAGCGTTTGCAGCTTGTTTTCTAACGGCTCGAAGAAGAGAATTATATATATAGATAGATATTATATGTTCTTGTAACAACCATAAACACTTCTCCGGTTGCATAATTAAAGTTGTTTCTACATTCGAATATGCCTTTATTTTCATTTTCCGTCTTTAAATAAAATTTAGTTTTTACATTTAATACATTCAACATATTATTTTCAACTAAAGTCCGCATCATTAAATTCTCATATATAGCTGCTGAAGATACTGATCTCATAGCTTCGGAAAATATGTTGCAGATAGAGGAGAGAGAAAGAGTGAAGTGAGCAAATGGGCTTCTATATATTAGGATGACTAGCTCGAACCAGGGGTCACACCCGCGGCGCCCATGTGTTAGAGTAGCCGTAGGATCTCGAGAGCGCACACGACGCACTGTACACTAGGCGGTCGTAGAATGGTGTTCTATCTCCAAATTGCCGAGGTTTTTTAACGTTCAACCAAGGTATTCAAACAACACACCTGGGACGTCTATATGGTAATGTGGACATTACAAACCTAACTACGACCCAAGAACTATTGTGCCAGCATTGTTAACAATTAAATAACTCAG